ACGCAGGCCGCCGCCACGCGCTCCGCGAGCTCCAGCATCAGCAGCTTGGGCGCACGCAGCCCCAGGGTCAGCTCCGCCTCACACACGTATGCACCCTCATGCACACTCGACCCAAAGCCCCCCGCCGCCGACGCCCCCTTGCGCCGCTTCTGCTGCTGCTGCTGCTGCTGCTGCCCCTGCTGCCCCTGCTGCTGCTGCCCGTCTGCGGCCGTATCGGGGATCTGCCCGAGGGCGTCGTCCAGGTCGCCGCGCCGCCGCCGCAGCTCGCGCTCCGCCGCGGCGGCCGCCTCCGCATCCTCCTGCAATGGTCGCGGCGGCGCGGCGGCGCGGCGGGGGGTGGGCGGCGTGGCGCGCGGCGGATTGAGGGAGCGGGGTCGGGTTTGGAGTTCAGCGCGGCGGCTTTCTGGCTGCGGCAGCAAGGATAAGGTGCGTCTGGCGCCATCCGACGCAGGGGATGCAAGCTGTGCTGGGACTTCTGCGCCCAGCTTGGCCACCCTCAGGCGCCGCCCAGAGGAGCGGCGCCCAGGCCGACGCACGGTGAGATGGGAGGCCGCCCCGTGGGAGGCCGCCAGGGGAAAGCGGTCCCGCCCCCCATGGCGTTGCTGGGGCGCGTTGCAAGTGGGGAATGCAGGGGCGGCGCGTGGCGGGTGGGCGGCGTGGGCAGCGCACCTCGTCCGGGCCGTCGTAGGTGGCGGCTTCCTCCCTGCCGCCCCTGAAGCGCAGCTTCCCCTCACGCAGCTCCTCGTCCTCCTCGTGGTCCTGCGTGACGTCATGATGACATCATGATGATGGCATGGTGGGCACGGCGGGAAAGAGGGGCATGGTTTGCTTGGAGGTTGCGTGGGGGTGAAGCGGGCGCGTGTGGATGTGTGCAGCTGGGGTACGAATGAGCTGTGCTTAAATGCAGCTGGGCTGTGAGCTTCCCCATGGCCCTTGCCATGGAAAGATGCCCACGCAGTTGCCAGCCAGGGCAGCCAACCCCTCACAGGGCAACAACTTTTCAAATTTCAAAGCAAGCGCCAAAAACAGGCCAGAGCACACAAGGCTGGGGGCGCGTATGGCGATCACAGCCCACGCCGCGCAGCACGTGGTGACGTGTGCGTGACGTCACCCGTACGCCCCCCCCCCACCTCTGGCTGCTCCGCCTTCTCGCTCTTGCGTCGGCCGCGGGCTGACGCGCCCGCGGGGTCCCCGCCCTCGTCATCCGCGCCGTCGGGGGC